AATATTAGACAGCACAAACGCGGTAATATTTTGCAAATTATACAATAATAGCATTTTAACATTAATACAGTAAATTTATAATTAAAGTGTGACCCAAATGTATGTTTAATAATACAAAAAGTATTATTACATTACCATTTCTATAATTTTATTCTATTGTAAATTTACTTTTGCTTTTACTGTTTAATTAGATTACAAGAAATTAATTTTGCAAATGCGTGTAAATTTACACTAATAACAGTTGTCACAATTACCCACTATAATAGTTGTAATATTAAACTAAAATTTTTTACATGGTAGTTTGGTCGCGCAAATTTTAAATTGTCTTGTCACCACAGAAAAATTTGGTTTCTTCAACCAATTATTCTTCCTACGATATATTAAACATAGTAAACAGTTAAAAGACAAATCACGATAAAAAAATTGTTCTTTATCCGTCAGCGTGACCATTCGACGATCTAATAATGTTCTAAAAATATAAACTTCTAACATTGTGCAATAGCATATTCTCCATCAAATATTGATCTTGCGCGTGCCGATAGTACCACAAGAAATTGTCAATCAAAATTTCAAAGTTAGCTTCGCATGAATCGTCTATGAGTTCCTGTTTGTCAAAATTCGTTGATTCATACATTGCAATCAATTTACGTAATTCAACAGATAGCTGAGATCTTATCATGTACGTGCTAGCGATTATTTCCAGATTCTCTGTGCTCCCAAATTCTAATGTATCTACAAGAATACACAACGTATTTTGCTAAAATTTACTTAAATCGCGGGAAATTCTCCATATAAAAATTAATCATAAACGAGAGATATATTTCCTTAAACGCTCTCTAAACGAAAGCTTTGATGGCGACACGTAAAATATCATAATCAATACAAATTTGAGAAAAATATAGAATGCAAATAAATTTCTCTTTTTGGAAAAATAATAATATAAAATTGATAAAATAAGTAATGATGCAAAATAAAAGATTACTTGTGCATTAAAATTTTATCGAAAATGATGCTTATTAATTACTTCAAATTTTCCTTTCGTATTGAAGAAACATTTTCATCGTTAGAAAAACAAATTTATAAGTTATAACTGGTACTACTTTATAATATTAATATATAAAGTAGTACCACGTGTAAAAAGAATAGCATAATGGTTTTTTACCATTTTCTTCGATTTTTTTCTTGAGCCTATCGGAATACTGAAGAGCTTTGTATTTAAGAAAAAGTTGAATAATTCGAAAATCAACAAATGACGTGGCAGGGAGGATTCCTTCAATATTGATTACTTTATGTTCCCGAAAAAAACATGTGATGTCACCAACCAATAAACAAGCCTTAAGAAGGAACAAAACTGAAAAAAAATTAAAAAAAAATGTACTGCATTATTAAATTTATAACTCAACGCACTCACCGACCTAATGTACGAATTAATGTATCAAACTCAATGCAATAAATGTAACTTAAATTGATTAATTACAAAGATTGCAAAATATAATTGTACAGCATTCGTCACGACAAATGTGCCCATATAATATTTTACTAGAATCCTTTTTCATTTGCTATCATTTTTATGACTTACAATATTAAATTAAACGGTTTTAAATATATTAAAATATTTTCATTTGTAATAAAATGTGTCTCAATATGTCTATTAAATAATTTAACTCAAAATTCTTTAAAAATACAAGCTCATAAATTCATTTAATTTTACAATATTATTTCGGGTCTTTTCGGATCTTTCTGTGAATTACTCCGTACCTGTCTCTCCCTCGTACTGCACCATCTTTTCTTGATATGAGGGAAAGTTCCTGGCAATCGTTACCAGTAAATCACACCCGTTTTTGTACAAACTGAGGCATGTTAGAAAAGTGCCTATAACAAATGTACGATATATCTATTTTTTAATTTATCCTTTCTTCCTTCTTTTTTTAATAATTCCCATGCGTTATTCATTCCGAACCAATGACTTATTAAACTATTTAATAAACGAGAATAGAACTTGAAAAATATTCATCACTTAAAATAGTTTATTTACAATAATAGTTATTTTTTATCATTTTTATCTTTCTCTTTTATTGTATATATATATATATATATAATTTTTTTTTTTTTCAATGAAAAGTGCTACTATTACATTCATTATTTTGATATTTCATACTCATACTAATTATGAACACATTCTTTCATACATATAAAGTATAAATTATAAAATATCTTTATGTTTAATAACATTTTAGCAAAAATTTTTTTAATTATAAAAGTTAGTCCTGAGTGAGTTAAGCTGCGTTATGTCGCAAAAAATGCAATAACAGCACGTACAAATTTTGTTGCAATGATTTATTTACCTTTATAAAATTCAATTAAAATATTTCCAATCTCATGCAAAAGATCAAGCCTTTCTTTTAACATCGGAATACAAGTCCCGTTATCACTTCGAAAAATAATTTCGACATCTTCTGGATTTTGAAAAAGATCCTTGTAATATTCAGGTTTCCACATAGGCTTTTCTTCCTATTTCACCAAAAATTAGACGACCAAAAAAATGTAAGACAAAATTTGATAACTTAGAAATTATTTAATATATAATTTAATATTTAATATATAATACAACAAAACAACAGACGCAGACATTTAACACGGATTATCACAACAAAATTAACATTTATAATATATTACCCCAACTTACACAACATGCACAGTTTGTATTCTGCATTCAGATACAAAACACACACATGCAGAAGATGCATGCATATGCGACATTTCAATATGACAGATAAGTCGAGGACAGATTTTCGATTTGAGCGATCCTTATTGCCGAAAAATAAGAATTTCCTAAGAACCATTGCACGGCGAGCATCTGTGCAAATTCTTCTCCAGATTATCTAATTTCAAACATATACTAAAAGCCGATCGTATCACAGAGGATGTAAGCGTGAAATGGTCGTTGGGCGATTATAATGAGTATAGAAAATATCTAAAAGAATACATGCCGACAGTATCAAAAAAAAATTGAAAAAAAGGAACCATCTGTTCGTCGAGAAAATAGCCCTTCATTCCGCTGAAAATCAACCGCAATAAGAAGCGGATAGATGTAATTCGAAATTATTATACAGCTAAGAAAACTTTGATTTAAACTCTGCAAAAATTCTTTCCAAAGAACTGCAAGCCTTTCCTCTTTAAAAGAAGAAAAGATCACATTTAATATACATTTTATTTCTTTTGCTTTTTATTTAAAACGTATCTATTTGATAATAAGATTAGAATCGAATAAACTTTACTTGCTTATTTTTAATATTCATATCGTCCATATGTCATTTCTAATCATTTTTCAAAAACGATTGCAAATATTAATTACAAATAAAAATCGTTTTATCACTTCAGATTAAAAAAAAAAGAAAAATTGCCAAAGACAAACAACGTTTTGTGAAAAAACAACTGTTACAGCAGGAATTGAAAGTCCAAAAGCAGAGTGAGAAAGCACACAAAACGGTGTAGTAATGGAATGGTATTAAAACTCCTAAAACAAGAAAAACGAAAGTTGCGAAATGTCACGCGTAACGAGCACACCGAAAGGATTCAACAAAGGTGCAAGATTGCTCGGCACAAGATGATCGATGCTAAGGTGAACTGAAAAATAAAGAACAAGGCGCAAAAAAAGCTACGAACAAATGACTAATAAATATCAAACAATAAAAGCAGAAGCTCATGGAAGAAAGATATGAGTTATTCGCTATCATTTGAACATAAAATAAATAACGTATCTCAAAATCATTGCATAATTTAGTGACTTTGCTTAAACAAAAAGAATATTTTGATGGAAATAAAATTCCATACATTCGTGCATATTTCAGATGGAGAAAAAACAAATATTTCCAAAAAAATATATTGCGATAAAAAAAAAGTTATTGCAACGTATAGACAATGTCAAAAGTTTATAGAGAATTACAATAAAAAAAATTAATCAAAAAACCACAAGAATGTAAAGTAAGATTGATGATAAATATTAGAAAAAACAAATATTCCATTTGAACGATAAAATAATCTACATTATTAATGTAGAATCGTTCGATGGAGCCTAAAGTTTTATCAGAATAATTTTTTGAAAACAATTTAATTCTAAATAATGGAGTAATATTTATAAAAATCTTGCAGACAATATAAAATTATATAAACTCTTAACTTCAATTAATTATTTATAAAATTTTGTGCAGGACTTTTGGATAATGTTAAGCTGTTACGTAAAAAGATATTTACCAAATAAAAGGGAACTCATATGTTGCACGGAAACTAAATAATGCTGAATATTTTCAGAGCAATACAGTAAAACGCGTGATAAAGTATAAGTAGAAATAGCTTTAAATAAATACGTTTTAAATTAAATATTATTTTCACATTATGTCACAGAATAAAACAGAAGAAAAACGTAATACGCAAAATTCAATATATTCTTAGAAAAAACCCACAAAGCAAAAAACGAGCAACATGCAAAATTAATATTTTTAATTCACTTTATCTAACTTACTTTAACTGTACTATAAACTTCTTAACAGAAAGTTATCATTTTAAATAGTGATTAAATGTAGATTTAATAAACACAAGAATTCAAGGCAAAAGGATAAACATATAATAACAAAGTAAAGTAAAACAAAAATAAAAAAATATTAAACAGTTCAAAAACTTTTGCCAACAAAAAAAGTATACAAATAAAAAGTATATAATATGCTGCTGCGTATACATATATTAATATTAAAAGACAAGTGTCAAAATGTACAGTTAATGTTAGTTAACAGCAGTATTAATTACACCTTAATACACGAGTATACAAGCAATTAACATCAATTATAGAAAATATTGATATTTTCAAACGTTAATCAAATCTTTGTAAAATATAAGGGTGAAAATAAAAAAGTGATGAGCCGTTCTTAAAGAGTTTCCGATTCCTTAAATGTCCTTCCACTTGTTTATTTATATATACCATCGTACACAAACATTGTACTCACCATAATGGCTCTTTTCATTACAGCGCAGAGTGCCAAGAATCCAGTATATCCGTTAACAGTCCATGGATCGGTACCTTTCGGTGACCAGAGCGAAAAATTCAAGGTGTGCAAGACGAAGATCCAATCCGCCGCTCTATTGTCGTTACAGTCGGGATACATGTCGGAATGTCTCGTAAATTTGGACATAACATCTTCGAACTCTTCATTTTGATAAGCATTCTCCAGATATGTTAGCACCTACGCAAACCAAATAAAACATTAGTGATATTTCTTTCACAACGGAAATTCTAATTACAAGCTGGCTTTTATTCGACAGGAAATAATTTTTATTTTATTTGCAAACATTGCGTAGTGATGACAATGAAACTAGGTCAAGTCGTACTTTCACTGAATAATACTGAATAAAGTTGGGTAGCTAAAATGTAGAATAAATTTCTTCATAAATTATTTTTCTCGGAAAATCAATGCTTAATATAAAAAAGTTAATGCTTCTTCTCTTTGTTCACTTTATTCCTTTATTTAAAATCATATTTTATCGACTGTACAATTAATTATTCCTGAAACAATCATACAGAAATAAACAGAAAATTTCTTGAACACATCCCCGAGTCGAAGAGCCCGACTTTATTCTATACCTTTTCTAAATTCTCTTGAAACGAAATCGCACCACGGCATTCGAATCGACTTATAAAGTCGCGCGCATCTAATCCTAACCTAAGTTAATCATCCCCCAAGATTTGTGAACGAATTGTCAAAATGTCGTGAATATTAACGAACTTATAAAGAAACTAGAGGTGCTTACATCCCAGGCCATTTGAATTATGCCTTGCTGATTGATGGACACATCTGATGCTTTTCCCGCGATTCGAAACACGGACTGCTGTGCTTCGCACATCTCGGACGGCACGGTAGAAGACATGACGATGTTTCGTCGATTGTTTCAAATTGTTGACTACGAACATCTCGGTCGCGATCACCTTTACGAAGATTCGACCGCGACGAAACACATAAACACACGTAAAAATCCGTTCTTCATCGTACCAACAGCCTACCGCGCGCGCCATAATAATGACCTTTGAAATTTGAGACTGACAGCGTCTCTGACGGTAAAGTGCGACATCACGTCAGCAATTTCAAATTTAACGATCGATATGAATGTTACAATATGTTTAAATTCACTAGTCGAACTGTTTTATGATATTGTAAATGCTTGAGCAGAAATCAATTAACATTAAATTAGGATATTCAATTCACGACCAACAACAAAAAAATTACTTTACATTAAAAAAAAAACAAGCTTAAAATTATTTCTAAAATTTTCAATCGATCTAAAAAATACCTTCTAATACTTATTTTTTATAAAAGCAAGATTATTATTTAACAGGATCAGGTTCAAGTTTTTATTATTAATATTTCTCATATAATTGTAGCCAGTTGCGGCGCTATTAACAGATTGTAAAAATGATGCTACCTTCTTCCAAGGAAATTCATTCGTTAAGCTGATCTTCGTCAAGTCAGCGCGAGTAGCCAGCTCTCTGCCATCGGTACTCAACGATCCAATATTCACTAACAATGTTTCTCCCCTTGTTAGTTTCGGTACCTACAATCGAAATACTTATATAAATAAAAAAAAAATAATTAAAACTAATAGGCTAAGAACTCGATGTTATTCGAGGTTATTCGTACTGTGGTACTTACATTTAAACTTTTAATTAATTTATTGATGTTTACTTCACATATATACAAGCATTTTGGTCTATATATATTTATAAACTATGAAACAATTTTTCATGAATTAAACTGCTTATCTGATTAACTTTTTTTCAGTAATTTAGACGCAGAAAAAAAAGTGCAAGCAAAGTAAATTGAGTATCGTTGCGAAATCAACATTGTGCAAAGGACCTACCCTTGCGTCCTCACCCTATGTTCTCAAATCCAATGAACGTTTGAGCAGATAATATGAGATTTTCAACTCGACGAATATCTGCGCCGATGGTTTCAAGAGTTTACCCGATCAAACGATTAGCATGGCACAGAGTGAGCTCGATTTTAGTTCCGATACCTTAATAAAATCACATAATCCGTAAAATTTCTCATAGAATTATTACATCAATTAATAATGAATAAGTATTTATGATACATGTTACTTACTATTTATTAGACCATCCGATACAGCAAATTACAGTTAGTTTTGTTCAACGAACAGAGACACAATACGGACCAGTTAGTTTACTTTCGCTGTCCTTGGATAAAATCCTGGACAAACTTCGATCCAAAAATCCAATCCTGGACGAACTTCGACTTCCATACAGCCTATTACCGACAATCGTAAGCGATCATGAAATACGTTTTGAAGAAACGTATTGCCAAGTGCTTTGATGTTTGAAGCCGCGGGCAACTGGTTGCCAGCTAAAATTCAGTAAGTAGCTTATTAGAAAAGAAGCAAACTTTAGGATACAAAGCAACAAATATCAGCACGGAAATAATAAATGGTTTACCGATTAAAAGCAAAGCGGCGTCCATAAATGCCGCGTTGTTAAGCATAGTAGCCATAAGAATGTCATGTCCAAGACAATCGATGAAGGAGACATGGCGAACCAATTCGAATCTTCCTTGACAAACCGGATACAAACAAGAGAATGAGTCTTCTTTACTGAAACCGCCGGATATGTAGCGTCCTGGCCGAGGACATTTTACGTTGTTGCACTCATAGATCTTTGCGTTTGCATATCCTGAAACGAGCAAAGTAATCAGATAACTTATTCTCTTTCTCCCTCACTTGCACGAGAGAACTTCTGACAAAGAGAGAAACTAATCAAACGCAACATGTCGATTTTTGAAATAATAATAATTTAACTCAACGTGAATTCGTGGTCCCTGTTTATAACTATTCAATAAGTATTATGTGGTAATAATTAAATTAAGATTTGGCACAACTTGCAATACAAAGATTTATATATCGAATTAAATACATTACATGAAAAATGTAGTGCATCTAGATGTAATATATAACTATATATATTTATACTTAACTATATTTATTAATATTTATTTATACTTAGCTATACATATATTTATTTATACTTTTATATTTCATTCACCAAACAAGTGAACGAAGAAAGAAACACGACAGAAATGCATGCATATGCGACATTCCAATATCTGTAATCAGTTTGCCATTATAAATTCAAATATTATTGTAAAATCATTGGATAGGCATGCTATAAATTTATGATGTAAATAGTTCATTACGCACAATAATTAACACGCATTATGATTAAAATTAAAAGAATTACGTGAGTATCGAGTTATACATATAATCAAATACAGATTAACCTATTCAATCCAACACTATTTTTTATTTTCAATATTTCCATACTTTCCATAAAAAGATTTCAAGAACTACGTTAAATAAAGAATAAATCAAACAAGTACATTATACATATTAGTTTATAAAAATTTAAATAATTAATAGAAATTTTTATTAAACGTTAATAAGACGTTATCAAGCTTCAAATCTAATTGTCACCTTACGATCGATACTGTTTGATTGATAAAAAATATTCTAGCACTTTCCATATATAAAAAGTAATATATAAAAAGTAATATATAAAAAGTAATATATAAAAAAGTATATATAAAAACATATAAATACGAATATATAGAAAATAGAAATTATTATGAATTAAGCAGTAAATTGTTGAAATAGAAATCTAGATCGGTTAGCAGAGACGATTCCCAAACCGAAGGGCGCCGTGCCTGAGTTTGGTCTACCGAGATGGAAAAAAATCCCTCTTGAACAAAAAATACCTATGATACCCGGACCCAAAGGCGCTTACAATTTAACACGACGCAAAATAGGGAGGACATTATGGACAACAGGCGGGTCAAAAACAGATTTCGATTTGAGCGATCCTTACTGCCGAGAAATCAGATTTCCCTACGAACCTCTGCACGACGAGCATCTGTACAAGTTCTTCTCCAGACCATCTAATTTGAAATGTTTACTAAAAGCCGATCTTATCACGAAGAATATGGACGTGAAATGCTCGCTGCGTGATTATAACGCGTATAGAAAGTATCTAAGAAAAAAACATGCCGACTGTATCAAAAGGGAATTGAAAAAGAGGAATTGTCTGTTCGTTGAGAAAACAGCCCTTCGTTTCAGTGAGGATCAAGCGCGAAAAGAAGCGGAAAGGTGTAATTCGAAATTATTATACAACTGAGAAAACTTTGATTTAAACTAAGCAAATTCTTTCTCAAAAGAATTGGAAGACTTTTCTCTCTAAAAGAAAAAAAAGATCACATCTAATATACGTATTATTTCATTTGCTTTTTATTTAAAACATATCTATTTAATAACAAGATTTAAATCAAATAAACTTTACTTCCTTATTTTGAATATATATTTCGTTCATAATGTAATTTCTAATGATATTTCTTTCAAAGACAATTGCAAATATTAATTACAGATCAAATTCTTTTTATCACTTCAGATTAAAAAAAAAGAAAAAATTTGCCGAAGACAGACAACGTCTTGTTAAAGAACAACTGTTACAGCAGGAATTGAAAGTCCAAAAGCAGAGAGAGAAAGCATACAAAACGGTGCAGCGATTGAAATTGTTAAAACTCCTTAAACAAGAGGAACGAAGATTGAAAAATGTCAAGCGTAAAGAGCACGCCGAGAGGATTCAACAAAGGTACAAGATTGTTCGGCACAAGGTGATCGATATTAAGGTGAATTGGAAAATAAAGAACAAAGCGCGAAAGAAAGCTAGGAACAAACGGCTAATGGACATCAAACAACAAAAGCGGAAAATCATGGAAGAAAGGTATGAATTATGCGCTATCATTTGAACATAAAATAAACAACGTATCTCAAAATCTTTGATGTATAATTTAGTAACTTTGCTTAAACAAAAAAATATTTTGATAGAAATAAAATTCCATACATTCGTGTACATTTCAGATGGAGAAAAAAGCAACATTTCCAAAAAGAAGATATTGCGATACAAAAAATGTTATTGCAATGTATAGACACTCAACGTCAAAAGTTTATAGAGAATTATAATAAAAAAATAAATAAAGAAACCGCAAGAATGCAAAGTAAGATTGACAATAAATATTAGACACAACAAATATTTCATTTTGAACGATAAAATATTCCTCATTATCAATGCATAATCGTTCGATAGAGCCTAAAGTTTTATCAGAATAATTTTTTAAAAACAATTAATTCTAAATAACGGATTAACATTTATAAAAATGGATTAATCTCTAAGACAATAATTGTATAAACTCATTACTTAATTTTATTATCAATAATATTTTGTGCAGGACTTTTGGATGATGTTAAACTGTTTACAAACTGTTACGCAAAAAGGCATTTACCAGACGGAAGGGAACTCATTTGTTGCAAAAAATATTTTCAGAGCAATACACAAAAAAGCGTAATAAAGCTTGAGTAGAAGTAGCTCTAAATAAATACAATACGTTTTAAGTTAAATGTTAATTTCATATTATGTCGCAGAATAAAAAAGAAGCAAGAAGTAATATGCAAAATGCAATACATTCTTCGTCAAAACCCACAAAGCAAAAACGGAACAAAGTACAAAATAAATAAATTTTTAACTTACTTTATCTATCTTATTTTAGCTGTAATATAAAATTCTTAACAAAAAATTATAATTTTAAATAGCAATTAAACGTAGATAATGAACGCGAAAATTCAAGGCAAAAGGATATAAACACATCATAATAAAATAGAAAATTAAAACAAAAGAGAAAGAATATCAAACAGCCCTAAAATTTTAGTCAACAAGACAAAAAGTATGTAATACGCCTTTGTGTATACAATACATTAATATTAAAAGACAAGTGTCAAAATGCACAGTCAATATTAGTTAACGCTGAATTATGAAACACACCTCAATGCACAAGTATACAAGCAATCAATATCAATGATGAAAAATATTGATGAAAAGTTTCCAAACGTTAATCAAATCTGGATAAAATCTACGAGGGGAAATAAAAAAGTGAGGGGACTTTTCTAAAGGATTTTAAGTTCTTAAATGTCCCTTCACTTATTTATCCATATATACTCGCGTACATAAATAAACATTGTACTCACGTTGACGACTCTTTTCATTGCAGCGCAGAGTGCCAAGAATCCAGTAAATCCGTTAACAATCCATGGATCGGTATCTTTTGGCGACCAGAGTGAAAAGTTCAATGTGTGCAAGACGAAGATCCAATTCGCCGCTCTATCGTCGTTAAAGTCGGGATGCAAACCAGTGTAATATCTCGAGAACTTGCTCGTGACTCTTCCAATACCTCCATTTTGTATAGCTTCATCCAAATATATTACCACCTATGCAAACCAATTAAAATATTGGTGATATTTCTTTCACAATCGAAACTCTAAGGCGAAACCAGCTTTCATTCGACAGGAATAATTTATATATTTTCAAACATTGTTGACAGAAAAATGAGTTCAAGTTGTCCAATATTTTCGATGAATAATGTTGAATAAAGTTGAAGTTATATGTACAATAAATTTCTTTATAAATCATATTTCTCGGAAAATCAATGCTTAATATATAAAAAAATTATTGCTTTTTCTCTTTGTTCACTTTATTCCTTCATTCAAAATTATTATCTTATCGATTGTACAGTCAATTATACCTAAAACAATCAGAACATACGGAAATAAACAGAAAATTTTTTAAACACATCGTCGAGTCGAGGACCCCGACTTCATTCTACACCTTTCCCAAAATCTTATTCTCTTCGAACGAAATCGCATTACGACATTCGAATCGACTTTCAAAGTCGCGCGCACCTAATCCTAAGTTAATCATCCCTCAAGATTTGTGAACAAATTGTCAAATGTCACGAATCTAACTTATAAAGGAAATAGAAGTGCTTACATCCCACTTGAATTATGTCTTCCTGATTGATGGATACATCTGACGCTTTTTCCACGATTTTAATTACGGACACCACGGGTGGCAAAACGTTGGACATGACTAACTACGTTTTGTCAATTGTTTCATATTATTGACTGCAAACATCTCGGTCGCGATCACTTTGACGAAAGTTTGATCACAACGGAACAAATAAACACGCGCAAAAATCCGTTCTTTGCATTACCCCAACAGCATATCGTGCGCGCCATAATGAAAATGTTTGAGTAGAAATCAATTAAACATTCAGTTAGGGCATTCAATATATATATATACACGCCTAATGAAAAGAAAATTTTCTTAAAAAAAAAATAAGTTAGAATGATTGCTGAATTTTCAATTAATCTAAGAAGTATGCCGCGAAAAATTGTAAACATATTATTAAATTATGTGTAATTATTTCGCAAGACTAAAGCAACTTTAATAGACAAATACTTAATTACTACAACGAATGCAATGAACACGTTGTAATAAAAAAAAATTGAAAGAGTTAACTCTGCGTGTTGCCAAATAAAAAGACCATTTATTTTAGAATGTAGTTTAAGGTATCGCGGAGATGTTTTGTATACTATTACAGAAAAATATGTCTGATATATAATTGTAAACAAATAAAAAAATATTAAAATATAAAATGAAAACATTCTTGAAATTTGAAATTTGGAATTTGGATTGTCGAAAAGGAACAATAAAAAAGATAAAATTATGATGCAATAAAAAAACTTATTTAAATATATAAAACAAAATACATAATGTAATATATATACATATATACATATATACATATATATATATATATATATATATATAATAATTATAAATATATTT